GTCCCTTTGACGAGTTGTGGCGTGATGCTAAGACTGGCAAGGCTCACTGACGATGCCGTCGAAACGTCTGGGAATGTACCATATCCACGGTTCGTCTCTAAAACTATCATGAATACTATGGACTCCGGACAAGGTGCATTCCAAGTAGCGAAAACGAGGTTAAATAACTTCTATACAACGAAAGGATACCACGACCATACAAAAGGCCACACTATCTTGGTCTTCATGCCTTCGGATAGTAAATATTGCTTTATGCAGACTAGTGGGAAGTTTCGTTCATAATTATTAATGCATAAAATCTTAGCTATTCTGGCCAGCCTACAGTGAATCAAAGCCTAAAGGAAAGTTTTCCTCTTAGACGTCACATTTGTATTTGCAGCTGTGGCGAGGTCGAAATTGCAGTACAGCCTTGAAGCTAAACTCTTTTGGGAGGCAAGGCTAAGTGCAGTTCAATAGTATCATGCATTTTACTCATATTGTAAGCTTTAAGACCCAGATCTTGTGGCATCTGTTTTGATCGCAGTCTCTTGTATGATGTATGCTATTGGTCTGATCTCGTTTTCACAACTTTGTCGTGCTGTAATAGAGAACTAGTTGGGCGAACTCTGTCCAGAGTATCCTGCTATGGGATAAGACGGTAGGGAGTAGGTGGATGTACCACGACAAAAAGAGGAGTGTTCGCACGACCATTTGATAGAAAGTTGCTCAAAGTATTGACTTAGCTTATCTTTATGAAGAATTGTAGCTTGTTGCTATGACTGGCAAGACTCGCTGACGATGCTGACTACGATGCCGGCGAAACGTCTGGGAATGTACCAAGTCCATACTCCAACGCTGGGAATTATCATAACTACTATAACTACTACTATGTATATATATATCTGCAATCCAAGAATGAACTTTTCTCTCATCCGGTTCTCTACTACAGACTTGGATCCACTTGGGGACAGACGTTTGTGAACATATGTGGACAGGTATGTGTGTCCGGGGGGGGACCAAGAGGTGATACTGGCGTAGCTTTCATTTAGCTTGGAAAGCCGGGCGGAAGGGCTTCGTCGATTGGCTTCATCAGATTCCGGAGGAGAAATGCCTTGGTCTTGAGACTGTTGGAGACCTTGGATTACCGTCCGCACCAGCCAGCTCTGGCTTTGTTCAGATAAGCCATCGCATGCAGCTATGGTGACTGACCTGGTGACCATAATGTGGTGGGCACTTGCATTCTTTGTTCGCCGTGACCGGAGTCGCCGGTGTCCAGTCCTCTCGGCTCACCCATGCCGGGAGGGTGGCGGCTCCAGTCTACCAACGTGATAGACAGTCTGTGATGGGCAGCCGATCGTGGATTCAACCGGACTTTGTGCCGCGCAAACACACAAACATTCACGTTTCCTAGGCATGACACGTCGCACGTTGAGGAGGCGATTGAGAAAATGTTGCCATTTAGGCGTACAATGACAAATAACCTGTAGGGTAACTAGGTGGACAAGTCAGCTAACACGATTCTATCAATTTGTAAGATGTAGATATGTCTATGTTGGTGTGTTTACCACTGAGCATGTGCATAGGCACTTGTGTTTGTGTGTGCTTGTACCTGTATTTGGGAGTGTTCATAAGGAAGCATAGTCTGATCTGTTGACATAAAGGCAGACCTATTTATTGATTACCCCACATACGCACACACACAAATTGACTGATGTGTATTCAATGTAAGCAGCGATTTGATGAGCAGTCCATCGCTGTAGCGATATTTCCCGCATGCAATGACACTGAAGTAACATCATTCTTGTGGTTTAGCATAATTTAAAAGTGATTTTAGTCTTTTCGTTCATAAGTAGGGTTTCGAGACTACTAGTAAACCAGTTATATGAAATGTAATCACCCTACTTGGTTTGAGGTGATGAAGGACTTGTAGTTGAATTATCCCACAATGATATGAGTATATCTCTTTCGAGTGAAAGTGTTTAGTGACGGTCGATTGCACCAGATTCCTTTTGGCCAGCTGTCAATGGCTTTAGTGAAACATTCTTGTTGACGCTGTTTCCGAGGTAATAGCTTTCGATTCCGGTGAAAACGTGTTAAACTTTCGTCCGTCATATGACGAGCATCGTCAGAGCTCGTCAAGAGGAATCCGCCGTCGTCTTCTGGTGAAATTGACCTTCAAATCTCTTCACCAAACATTTTCACGCGAAATGGAAGTAGGCTCAACAATAATGAAACAAGAGATTCCTCTAAACCCAACTTTTCTTTACAGATATGATTAGAGTTAATGCTTTCGTTGAATTTCGCATAGCCCTGCATCTTACGGTTATGTAAGAGGCCTATCGCCTGGCTGCTTCATTCTCGGCTGGCCGCGCTATTCTATCTCCAGCCAGACAAGTCTTTGACTATCAGCTACACGATGTTAAATAGCGTTTTTAGATCGTAGATACGAAGACTAAGATGAGGTGGCCTTCTGCGTAATCGCAGTCGTTTTCAATGGTAATAGAAGTAGTAGCAGCGTTAATAATAGTAATAGAAGCTGTATCAGTGGTAATGGTAGAAGTAGCAACAGCAGTAGTATAATCAGTGATTATAGAGTTGACATCGATCCTTTTTTCGTTACTTACGCTCTGCAAACAATTTTTCACCTTTAACCGCATCATTTCGCCTTCTATTATAGCCAACAAGCTATGACCCTGCCTCTGCAATGGCC